TAACACCTGAAGCTCGTCCCTAACAGATATACAATCATATCAACCTATTTGCCATCTATCTTAAAACTTGATGTTTTATCTCAGCATTGGCTCTTGATCGATAACAAAAATAACGTGTATTAAATAACACATAACTATTGACAGAAAAAAACAATAAATAAAAGAAATTTCGATAAGGACACAGATTACTTTAACATACCTTCTGCATAATAAATAATGCACAACCTTATATTGTAATTGTTAAACAAACTATATAATCAGGTCATAAGTTCATATTATTGAAGACATATTATATATCTGGTTAAATGATGAGATAATAAGGTTTATATAACAAAACACTTCGTTTTTAATTAAGTAATATCTTATAATTTCAATAGTTGAAATAATGAGTCAATTGAAGTTATACCACCATGGAAAACCTAAAAGCACTGGACGACTGTTTCGTCCTATTGTGGGACTCCTCAGCAGTGAGCATCCACGATTCCACTCTCCGCGAGATTCGAACGGAGGACGTATCAGTCTCGCGCGCGTGCGCTTACCCATTAGACCACTGAGCCGGAATCCAACGGTATTAATGTCCAACTTCAAGCGCTCGCGCGCGAGACATATAGGTCTAGAGTTCGAATTTGCGCGGGGTAGGATCGTGGATGCTCACTGCTGAGGAGTCCCACACTAGGACGAAACGGCCGTTCAGTGCTTTTAGGTTTTCCATGGTGGTATAACTTCAATTGATCCATGATATCAACTAGTGAAATTTTCTTAATTTGTCGAGTTTTGTAAATGTACATTGAATCGAGTGAAAAACCATATCTACAATGTTATTTAGTCGGTTAGTCAGAATCAACGTAGGATCTTACCAAAGCTATCATATTACCTAAGCCTGATGAGATTAAATTATCAAAATGATAGTGAGAAATTAGTTCAGAAAGACAGAATGATAAGGTATGCATGGATGAAAAGTGTAATTTAGAATACAACGAAAGATCAACAGTGACTAATTTTACTCCACTATTAGTGGTTTCGAACCACATCATTGAACATCGTGATTCTCAAATGGAACCAACTTGTAGTTTTAATAACCGTGACTACATGTTTTTACCTAGTCAAATTGTTATCGTCACTAATTCTAATAGTCAATAATAAAGTGATTCAATTATGAAGTTAAGGTTTTTTACTTAACTTAAGGTTACAAAATTTTTTATGAAACCCTTGGTGGATAAACTAGGTTACACAAGGTGAAGTGACTCATGATTATTAGATTATTATTCATTGCAAACTAGTTGTCAGTAGCAGAAGAACAAATGAAAAAGATAGAGAAGTAAATAGTTGGTTTATACAAGTTTAGTACATCTAAAACAGCATTTTAGACTTCAATATTATTTATTTTATTTTAACACATAGATATTGGTACAAGGAGGCACCAAATATATATGCGCAACGCAAATCTCGTTTGATACGTGTGAGGGCTGTGATACTGCCCGGGTGCCCAAACCAAAGCAGGTGGTTTTCTTAGGGGGCCACACCCCAAGCCTTTGACTTGACTGTCTGACCCACAAGGCAGTGGAGCATCGTAAGGAGATGCAGTCCGATGGTAGCCGGTGACCAACGATTGGTTCATACGCCATTTGTTCCTTCAGGATACTGGAGCCCATGTGCACCATTGGTTTGGGATCCGGTTAAAGCGCCGGACATTCGCTTTTCGTCCTCTCATTTTCGTAAACAACACCCCCGCCACGAGAAGGCAGTGAGTAGGACTTCACTGGCAGGGGCTGTATATGCGTGGCCATGTGAGAGCGTTTGGAGAGGGAGAGCGGACTTTCCCCACTCTCGGCCGTACCAGGGCATTTGGGGACAGACTTCAATATTCGCGTAGTCATATATTTCAAATCGATATTGCTGTGGGGAAAATCACTTTAAATGAATAATATTAAACAATAATCGTTGTAATATACCTTGTACAAACTGATCATAACTGTTTCTCGAAACTAGCTATTTTGTATAGAATAAGGATATTAGGTGGGTAAAGGTAGTCGGGATGCGACTATAACATCTCAACACAGTGAACGCGGTGTCGAGTTACTCAAATCAATGGTTATATTGTAACTTAACTGACGGAAATCGATCTGCACTAAAGATCTATGTTAACGTAACGCTAGCCGATACTCAATGAATAATTAACTACAAAATATCAGTATTAAATAATGTCATTAAGACTTGCAATGACGATTGGAAGACTATAATTTACGGGCGAATCAATTAAATCTAAGATAGCATCTCTTGAACCTTTTTGCAGACCTTATTTAGCCATGTGATAAACAAAGCATTTTTGCATTATAACTGATGTAATTTTGGAATGAAATCCCCTAATCCAAATCTCAAAACCTAACTTTGTACCAATTTATAATCCTCATTACTAACCCTATTTTGAAAATAATAACAGGCTGAAGTTACATAAGATCACATTCTTAGAAACCCTTAGAGTCATTCACAGATTATAGTCTCGTTTGAAGATTTTTATGGTTATAATAATGATCGTGCACTATTATTGTAACAAAAAATTGCAATAATGAATGAGGATAACAAATAAAGTCAGATATTTTTATTAAATTTGATTACATAGATATGAACATTTCACAAATTTTAGGTTAGTTCATGTCAAAATCGGTGGTTACGGATAAAACTAGGTTATTTAGATATATTTAAATGAGGAATAATTAATCACTCAGTCATTCAGTCAGTAATAACGTAGAACTTCGTACGTACGTAGATCAGTTCGAGTTACCATACTAAATTAGCACAGAGATGCAGCTGTCGATTCAAATCCCATAGTGGTAGATGTAGCAAAAGTATAAGAAGTAATCGGAAACACTAGGGTTTTTAGATGTTATTTAAGGAGTATAACAGAGTGAAATACATTTGGAAAGAGAAGAAAAGTCATCATATGATTTACCCACCAATCAAAATACGACTTATACAATCTTAGCACTATGCCAAACCAATGAAGTTCGACCGGTATGAGCAGCTTAGCGTCTTTATTGATCCTATATTCGCCTAGCCCGTCCACTTGAGTTCAGAATACCAACACCAGCTTCCACTAAGCGAATCGAATCGAATCATTTATTTCAGACATACTGGGTTTGTATATCAAAGAAACAGACCGTAACACACCATAAAATAGGAAATAACATTTGTACACAATAAAACTAAAAAGTGATTGTGAATGTGGGAGGCAGTAGTCAATAAACTGAACATAGCTTAAGAACAGTAAATCGTACAATAATAATATCTAGGTTAAAATAAAGCTTATAACAAGGGGAATATAGATGTACATAATCTAGTTACTGGATATTTATACCATGAGAATATATAAATAATATTAGTCCATGAATAGGTCTTAAACGTTACTCGTAATGTAATCTTCACTAGGATATAACACAACTCTTAACCAAAAACAGATTTATTACGTTATAATGGTTAGTGTCAGTAACTAGTAAAGCAGATCTGGCGACCTCTAGGCAATATATCTCATGAAAAGTGATTGCTAATATAAGAAATCCAAATAAAATGACATAATAACAGTTTAGCACCATTGACAGATAGTCGAAAACAAGTGGTAAGAAACTGTAGATCTGATTTCGTAGTGATCAGGACATAATAGAAAAGTATATATGTGATCCTGATGAAATTGTAACTATTTAAGAGACTCGCATCTATACAAACTAATATTAAATACAGATAACTTGTTATTCATTGAGGCACTGGGCTAGTGAATAGTAAAATATAAAATTTGACAGCACTTTAAACTTGAACTCAGTCTATGCTCCTCCATAAGGAGTAACAAGCGTAAGTAAATAAGTAAGTTAAACTTGGACTAACAATGACGAAATAAAAAATATGTCTGGTACCAAAACATCAGGAACGAGTAGATACACGTACCTATATGACGCACTATTTTCAAAGTCATAACCTACTGAGTCAGTCAGATACAATGTAGGACCAGGCACACATGCATCAGTCCATGTTGCCACACCTCACTAATTAGCACAACAGGATGAACACTGAATACATGGAAGTAGTTACTTCAATGGTAGTAATATATAAAAGGAAGATTGTGTATAAGGATATAATACAGGAAGAAAGAAAGATATAAATCAATTTTAATCTCATAGTTTAAGGGCAGACAACGAGTGTATACGCCTACTCCATTGTGATCGATTCTGAACCCTGTCTCCAACGATTGGTTACAATGGTCACGCGGAACCCAACCAAGTATTCTGCATCTACCAACATGGCTCAGACCAGAAGTTAGTGTCTTGAAGGACTGATGTAACGTTTTGGTTTGGCCACCCATAACATTCTTCCAACCATCCTCAACACATGTCATCACTGCGCGTCATGGTAATCGGTGTTCAGGTATACGTCACATGTGGTCTAACCATCTCATGTGATGAAGATTCACAACCTAATCAACTGATTTACCATCATTCCCTAATACCCTGCGTCTAACCCCACTATTACGTTTCTTTGTGTTGACAATTTTCTCATATCGCAATGTAACAAAGTATAGCAAACAAAATAAATGCGTCGTTGTGTATTAGATCACAGTTATTTAACATACAACTTATAACAACTAGATTTTAACAAATAAGTAGTGATTAATTCATGAAACAATACCATAAATTCTGTTAGTAGTTGTACTGTATGACCGTAATAAATGATGAAGGTAAGTAATATACATTTTAATTAAATTTATATACAAAATAATTAATTATATTCAGTAGTAAGAGTTTGAGTCCCAAATGTGAAAACTAACAGTAGGATGAAAAAAATACTCAGCCAACTAACAGGACGTAGGGACAAAACACTATTAGCCATTACTCATCTATTCTTTAAATTAATCAATTGTTCCGAACTACAAAGTCCAAAGAACATTTGATATGTATAAGTACAAATATCGATCTGGTAATATTAACAATGCATACTAACATAAATCAACTTACCTTGAGCAGCTATGAATGCATTAGCATCAACAGCTTCATCAACTAATGCCCTCATACGTTCAGCTGTATCTGTCCAATGTTGACGCATCATAAGAAAATGATCTGATGTAGCTTGTTTTAAACTAGCTCCACCAGGTTGTAATTGTAAATTTGGATCAGCTGATAGAATAACTGCACGACCAGCTAATACAACTTGTGCACCTAATTCATTAAGTTGACTAGTTAAACAACGTAATGCATCAGAACGCCATACATCGGATAATTTTGTAGCTGCAGCTAATTCTCCAGTATTAACAAGTTGATTACATTGAGTCTAATACAAAGTAATACAATTTCTAAGTGAATATATTCTTAAATCAAGAAGTTATGTTATAAAGAAAGTTAAATATACAGAATTACAAAATTACAATTTTCTTTTTGTTGTTTTTAAAACTCTATGCATTGGATAGTGTTCAAAGAAAGAACAACACAGAAGAATCTCATCAGACATTCATCATTTTATTATAATAACAAATAAAAATTCTTGGACATTTTCTTGGAGTTGATCAAATAATTAAATTAGGTAAAAGTAATCCTTCACAATTCAAAGAATTAAATAACCGGTCTGGGCACCCCGGCAGTATCACCGCCCTCACATACGTCAAATGAGGTTTATCTGGCGCATATGTATCTAGCGCCCCCTTGTACCAATATCTATGTGTTCAAATAAATAATAATAATCCTTTACAATTACATAACCATCAACGGTTATTTACTATTCCAAGAGATAATAATGTATTAAATAACTTAATAATGAAATTAATCTCTTAGGGAAGTTGAAGTAAGTTATCAATACATATTGATTTCATTCGCTTACTTTAAAATAGTGCTAGAACACTAAAGCAGTCAATAAATCAATAACAGTATCTAGGGGTTTCTAAGCATAGGATTTAAACAGAAAAATAAACAATATTTTATTAACAACTAAACAGCTATCGCGAAAAATAGGGCTAATGTGAAGTTAGTTGCAAATTGTATAACAATGGATATTGGATCTACAGTACAGTATAGTGAAAGCTTATGTCTGTTTAAACATTAGTACAAGGAGGCAACGAATACATATGGATCATACAATAACAATAGGGTTATGAAGAGATAGAGAATGTAAAGTGAGTATAATAAAAGGAACAATAACAAACAGAAATTAATGTATGAGAGTGAAATAATAATGGGAGAGACAGTTCAGTTAAGAAAAATACAACCAGAAAGAATTCCTTCAGTTGAAGAAGCTACGTTTACCTATATGAAGAAAGTAAAAGAAAGTTACAGCAGGATCGCCACTGGCTTTTATTCCCAGCCATATCCGATTATGTCTCTAGCCACTGTGTTGCACCATCACTAAGACCTCAACCAGGGAGTCGTGAACGACCAACAGAATCAAGTCCTCTACAGCTTCCATTCATACCACGACACCGTGTCACATACTGAACACCTCCACTTTTTCCACCTGTCCCAGAGTCGACAAATAATGGACAACGTTGAATTCTCTGAGACGAAATTCACAAGATATACCTAAGCCACCAAAGTCGGTGTTTCAAGATAGTGACACTAATTGGATAATTGTTGCTGTGTTCGAACACACGATGTCGAACCTCTGCATTACTAACATGTTGCCACTGAATGTCGGCAATCCATCGGAGACAACGATGATCAACGAGAGAGTCGTTTAACATCCTCAAACCAGAGAGGTCAGATTTCACAAGCACATAAATATAGTTACAAAGGGGAACCGAATACATGTGCACCACACAAGTCACTTGATTTGTGGGTGTGGGCGAGGTGCCCAAATTGAAGGATATGGTTTCCTTAAAGGGCACACCCCAAGCCTTCCACATAAAGGTTTGATCTAAAAGGCAGTAGGGAAACGTAAGGAGATGCAGTCCCATAGTAGCTGGTGACCAACAATAGGTTCATACGCCATTTGTTTCCTTAAGATTCTGGTTCCCATGTGCACGATTGCTTTAGAATCAGTGTTTTCCAACTCCCCTAGGTGGATCTTCCATATCCGTGAACCTGGTTAAAGCGATGGACATTCGCTTATTGTCCTCTCAATTTCGTAAACAACAGTAATGCCGCGAGAACACTCTAAGTAGAATTTCCTCTGCAGTGGCTGTATACGCGTAGCCATGAGAAAGCATTTCAAGAACGAGAACTGACTCTCCACACACTCGGTTGTACCAGTGCATTTAGGGGGAACTTTTGTTAACAGTTGTTAAAGATTATTTTAAACATTTTCATTTTTAAGCTCATTTTATTTGTATTTCTAAGATTTGGTAATTATATTCGCTTATACAATTGAATTAGCCATTATCTATAACTTATTCTATCAATAATAATCATCTTTATATATCGAATTCGTACAAATTCTTTTCCATCTATTACTTCTAATAAATCTATACAATCATATAATCTTCTATCATTAGTTGAAAAATTCTTTGGTAAACACATTAAACCTATTCTTACATTTGTTTACTTTAAAATACTTTTGATTGTCAATTAATAACAAGAGGAATCTTTTATGATCATTGTTATTTTTACAAGGAATCAGTCAAAAAGATCATGATGACGGCGATGATGATGATGATGATGAAGATGTAGTAGTAGTAGTAGTAGTAATAGTAGAAGAAGAAGAAGAAGATAAACACAACAACCTATTCACTTGATTTACCTATAACTATAAATGATTACTAAACATATACATCTAAAGTAAACAATTGAATGTAAGTTATACAGACAAATTCATTTAAAATAAACAAACTAGAAATAAGATAGAAAACAATATAATTTGTAAGAAACTAATCTTATTTCTTTCAAATTCTAGATTATATTATTAATTAGTTGTTTGGGTGATATCCAGATACTCTAATGACAGGAACCCCAACAGACACTCATAGATGCTGGATACCAAGAAAGTCCGAACGTCACAGAAAAGCAGTTATTAAGCTGCAAGTAGACCCGAAAAATAGGTCATATTTTTTGAAAGGAGAAGGTGTTGGGGTGATCCAGAAAATTTATCGCAAAAGACAAGCAAGGATCAGGAAACACTAAGAAGCATTTCATCCAATCAGCGTTCACTTGAAGTTTTAGCCAGAAACATCAAGGAAGTGAAAAGTCATATGTTAAGTTTCTGATTGGCTGATTACCATACTGCCACTAAACATAGTAGCATTCCAGAATCTTCGGGAAACCCAAGGATATCCTAACATACTATAAAAACACTATATTTTCTGTACTAAAACGAACCTTTGGAGTAAAGTGCTTCTGGCATAGTTTTGTGTCTTTTCTCTTGTGTTCAGGTCGCTGTATGGTTCCAACTTGAGAGTTACGAGAATAGCTTAGGAACCGAATATCGCGTTCAATGTAGCAAGACTTATCATTAGTAAATCAATATATAAGAGTTATTAAAGGAAAACAAAAACATCGATAATTGAAGTTATCGTAATGATTCAAGGAATCATAGAGAGATAATGAGTACTTCAAGAAGATATGACATATGTCTTAATCAAATGATATATGTGTTACCATAGTAATGTGAATTGGATAAAAATGACATTGATTAATGTATTAACAGTGATATCATTATTTAGTTGGTTTATTTGTTTTTATTTTGTTACAAAGAGCACAGAATAACGATAATAATTGAGAGTTAAATAGACTGTAACGTTGAAATAATTAGCATAACTTTAATGATAAAGATTTATTGTTTAATGTCAGTTTTTTTTTGTGTGGATAGTATAGTAATAGTTAAGATAGTGAGTCAATTGAAGCTAGACCATCATGGAACACCTGGGACCACTAAACGGTTGTCTCATTTTATCGTGGGACTGCTCAGCAGTGCGCATCAACAGGACCCAATCTCGCATGTGAGCGCTTTACCACTAGACAAATGAGCCAACCAACATCCAACGTTGTTAATTTTTAACTTCAAGATTTATTGAATAAGATATGCAGATAGAGAATACTATTCGAAATTGTGTTATGATTATTAAAATATTATATTTGATAATTGACTAGCAGTGAACTATACAAAAAAAGCGTTATTCGTCCTGTTACGGTCTTTTCAGGTGAAGTCTACGGTTCGATATTTTAAAGTCCAAACAACAACACATCATCTACTAAGGTATAATATAATTTGTGACTAAATGTCACGTCGAAGCAATCCGCTAAGGATGACAATCGAGAGTAATCAACAGTAGTCCTAAATATCAGCATTGAGAAATCACAAACGTTACTAATCAATTATTAACAGTTAAATGATTATATTACTAGACCACAAATAATAGAAGACACTTATGTTCACGATCCATCCCCATTTATATTATGAATTCAAGATATATTCCAAATAACCTTCAATCATACAGATTGTTGTATCCCGGTTTTTATGTTTCAGTCAAAATGAATGAATAATATATATATATATATATATATATATATATATATATATATATATATATATATATTATGAATGACTTTAAGATATTAAACTCAAAGTCAGACATAATTTGTAGTCAGGTTTCAAGAAAATGAAAGACATTACTGTAGGTTGTATCTGTATAATGAAGCTTGTTCAGTTTACAGTGGGAGTATACATGCAAAAAAGAGCAACAAATATTGACCGATGAATGTACTTGATTTATTTATTTGAACACATAAATAATAGCACAAAGAGGCGCCGAATACATATGCGCTACATAGGTCACTTGATTTTTGATACTTCCCGGGTGCCCAGACCGAAGCAGGTGGTTTTCTTAGGGGGGTCACATCTGAATTCTTTAATTTAAAGGTCTAATCCACAAGGCAGTCCTATGATAGCCGGTCATCGATAATTGGTTCATAAGCAATTTGGTCCTTCGGGATCCTGGAACCCATGTGCACCATTAGTTTGTAATCAGTGTTTTCCAACTCCCGTAGGTAGATCTTCCATATCCACTAACCTGGTTAAAGAGCTGGACATTCGTGTATTTAAACCAGATATTCTGTTTAAAGTTGAATACTTCATAACTAGTAAACTATTGGTTTCATACAATTAGTATGTGTAATTCATAGTTTGTAAATTTTATTTACACTTACTAGAAATTCTTTCATTTTCACATTGTAATCATTTTGATCTGGTAAATTACCAGATGATGGAGATGCAGATTCTACTAATTGACGTAATGGTCCAACAAGATCTGTGTAAACTTCAGCAATTTGTCTTGTTAATAATTTCTCTAATGTTTGCCATATATACGCCAAACTACGACTGATAGCCATTGCTAAATCCTGTTGATGGATTTCATTTTCTGCCGCTGATAATTTTATACAGAAAGAAAAAAGAACAATGCAAACAAACATAAAAATTGTTTATTGATGCAATTAAATTAGAGTATTGTAAGATAGAGAAAAAAAGTTGTGACATCATCCAACTAGTTGTAAAACGAACTTACCGTTCAGTGGTTGAAATACTAAACTTAGAACTAATGCGTCCATAGTTCTCGTCATGAACTGACATTATATGAAGCAACAACGGAAAAGTACTATTCATTTATAACTAAAGAATCACTGAGTAGTGATCAGTGTCGTGTTTGTCTAATCCTAAATCCTGATCAAGTCCTATCAATCAAATTCAAATGTGACCACCGATTTAAGTATTAGCATAATATCCATAATGTTGGGATGTTCTGAGGGTGGCAGGAAGTGCTGAAACCATGTTACGTGTTAACTGCCGTTTGTTAGCAAAGTGCACCTGTTGTCTTGAAGGAACTGATTCAAAATATGGGATTCCAAACTGAGCCACGTAGACAAGTGACCAGGCTGAAACTACATTGATAGGATTCTATCAGCACCAAGGACTAGACAAACATGACATTTAGCATTGATTTGTCATCAATCGGTTGTAAATATGTCAGTCCTACGTGGGATCAGTTGCTGCCTGAAACGTTTAGTGGTCAAGTATCAGATCGTGGAGCTGAGTGATGTTTGGTTAGATCCTACTAAGAACATCAGATCCCTTAAGATTTTACACAACTAGCAAAAAAAATTAGGTCCAAAGTATCCTGATGATTACATACAATCAATTGTAAACTAAACTATCGTTCGATAGTTGGAATATAGAACTTCCATCCAAGAGGAATCGACATCACATTCGGATAATCAACAAAAGATATCGGATCATTTGGTAAACTGTTTTGTTCTAAATGAAGACCTATACTCAATGGCTTTATACATTTAAAACTAAACGTTATATACGTAAACTGACTGAAACCATGTATCAACAATAATGCCGCTTCGAATACCAACATGTTTCGCTAAGAATATATCTTCAAATGGTTTTTTCAGCTTCCTTTTATCCTTCTATATGGTAAGTGAACATCAAAATAATCACTGACGATATAATAACGTGTGTAAATAGTGATTCTATAATCCAAATAGATTTATTTATTTAATTGAATGTATGTGGGCTGTGATACTGCCCAGGTTCCTAAACCGAAACAGATGGTTTTCTTTGGGGGGCCACACCCCAAACCTTTAACCTAAAGGTCTAATCCACAATGCAGTAGAGGAACATAAGGAGATGTTAGCCGGCGACCAACTATTGTTTCATACGCCATTTCATCCTTCAGGATCCTTGAATGAGGGTTTTCCAATTTTCACAGGTGGACACTAAGTGTTTACCAACATGGTTAAAGCATCGAGTATTCGCTTTTTGTCCTCTCAATTTCGTAAACAACAGTAATGCTACAAGAAGGCAGTGAGTAGGATTTCCCTATCAATGGCTTGTTAAGTTCTCTGCTTCTCAGTGGCCATCCCAACATGGTTATATACATATGACAATATGTGAGTATTTCGAGAAGGAAAGCTAATTCTCTACACCCTCTGCTATATCAGGGCATTTAAGAGCTAAATAGGGGTATAACAAATTAAAATGTTAATGAAAGATTATCACTGTTATGTTATACACCATCAATAAACCAAAACTAAAATGTACTTTTGATCTCTTATTTAGCTCTTTAAAAAAAATTTACACAATTTTAGGAACATGTAAAGTATTTAGATATATCATGTGATAATAACATTTACATAGTGATTAATTATATCAACTGTTTTATGGTATTTACATGTGAATAATACCCACGTACATACTTCATTTTCTAATTATTATTCTTACTAAATTTTGCTAATTAATAATGTCATTCATTTTTCACATTATTTTAATTTGTTTGAAATCATGAATTGATTGATGTTAGATCATTATTGAAAATCTTGCTCGCGGGATTCGAACCTAGGAACGATTGATCTTGTATGTGAATACTTAAACTTTAGATAATTGAGCTAGCATCTAAAGGTATTCATGGTTAAATTTAATCAATGGTGGCCTAATATCATTCGATTTATGATCTCAATCAAAAAACTTAACCAATCTCCATAACCCCTGTTATTAACTTGTGGCTGCCAATTAGAGAGTAGTGAATTATTGATCGGATCAATTGAGCGTAAACCCGTACGAGCAGTCTAGAGTCCTGTTTGGTCCTGCTTTCCGCTTAGCCCAGCCAGTTAAGTCCAGAACACCAATCTCAGCCTTTGCAATATGAATCATTTATTTCAAACATACGGGGTTTATATACCAATCAAACACTACACAGTACCATAAAATAGGAAACAACATTTGTACAAGATTTGGCCAAAAGTGTCTGTGAATGAAGGAGGTAGTGACTAATAAACAGGGCATAATTCAAGAATGGTAAAACGTATAATAACGTTCATAGGTCAAAATAAAGTTTATAATAAGAGAAATATGAATATGAATAATTTAGTTATTTAACAATTATACGATAAAAATATACGTTTAGTATTGGTCCACAAATGGATCCCAAAAGTTACCATTCATTATGCTTATCGGGACCTGATAACCCTATACTGATATTTAATTTGTGTTCATTATATGGTATCTCGATAATACCAATTAAGTCGTTTGTATATGTCTGTATCAAGTGAGAACTTCAGTGACTCTTGAGGAACATGTCTATTTTCGATTTCCTGGTGATGTTGACAAAAATAGCACGGTTCTGGAGTAATAGACATACATTTTGTTACTTATTTAAAAAGTATATATTCGTGTACTTGGCTAACCCGAAGAGAAAATGTAGAAGTAGGACTTGAGCTTTCGACTTAGTAGTTTAGTGTCGAATAACTGCACCACTATGATACCCTTCCACAAAAAGCATATACCTAATATAACTGGGATTATTCAAAAAATTAAAATTCACTGCATTTACTTTACATGCTGAAAACAAGTGTGGAACTTGTATATGATTAATATTTTGTACATTGGATTAACATATATAGAAGAGAACGAAATAATAGTAACGGTGCTTACTTAATGGTTGAGAAGATATTGCAAAAAGTTTGTCAGAAACTCTCTCAACATGTTCACATGATTCTAAACAAGCATCATTTGTCCCTTTGTCTTCAGTTGGACTACTGTTAGCATTTATTTTATTGTTATTGGCAGAAATATCAATACTATCAAATGACATGATAATATTTCTTGCACCTTGAGCTAATGAACGACATGCTTCTAAGCCAACATGACGTAATGGACCACGAGGATCAGTTAACCAACGTTGAGCTTGAACTAGTTTACCTTCAAGTGTTCTAGCCAAACGAAATAATGGATTACATGTATGATGCTGTTGATCACCAACGCCATCACCATTATTATCACGTAATGTTAAATCTTTACATAATCTAGATAATTGATTTAATTTTGTACTAAGTGTATTGGCAATATGACTTGCTTCTGATCCATTACCCTGAAATAAAAATACGTATATTGAACATTGATGAATAAATAACTATCATCTGTTCGGAATCAATAACTTGTATATATGTTGAACTGATATGAATAACTTTTCTTGATTTGATGCAGAAAATAACAATACACTGTGGGTTCGATACAAACTGGTAACACTAAATCATGTTAATGAATATCTCTTTATAACTTAAAAAAAAAACTGAGCACCGCCTACGTCGACACACACATTATTGGTTGATGTAAGAAGGTTTGAAGAGAATTGAAGGTGATTATCAGTCTAAAAAAAAACAATCACTAATTACTAAACTCAGTAGTGTAACTTAAACCAGACTCCTTGGTTGAAATCCATGCAAATTAAGTAAGTAAATTTTTGGAAATGTTAGTAGTTAAGGGCTATAATCGGTCGCAAATACTATTGATACGATCATATAACTAAGCAATTAAATGTTACGTACGTACAACATAAATGATTCTGCTTTCCCACAATTAGCTAACTAAATGACGCCATTCACAATAATTAGAATCATAGAATAGAATTATTATCTTTTGTTTTAATTGACTATCATAAAAAGACTGTTATGTAATCAGGAAAAAAATTCATGTAGGAAGCATATTAGCGGCCGTTTATATTGGTTCTGCACATTCAATAAAATAAATTCCGTTATATTAAAGCTAGACAGGAAAGGAAATAAGACAATGCATAGATAGATGTTTATAATTTTGCGTAGAAATAGAAGAAAATGAATATATTTTTTATTAGTAATAGCTGGATTTTGAAATCATTTGGAAAGTTAAGGTTATCAACCAAAGATTGAGGGATCTCCAGGACTTCAACCAAGATCAGCACTCCAATGGATGAAGTTTTGTTATTTGAAACGTGCGGTACAGGTATTAGCAGTATGGTATAAGTGTATTCAGCCGAAAAGATCCATATAGAACAAAACAAATTTTCTGGAGACCCTGCTATACAATGTTTAACTTTATTAAAAACTCCAGTCAAGATGTGTAAAAAGTTCCTCAGAGGTCACAAACCTATGAAACTCTATGAGATTAATGAACCTCTTCGATGTATTGATTACACGAAATTTACCTGTATTGAATGTTGTACGACAAATATGTAAGATATGAGTGACGTAAATCAATTCTGAAATCAAACAACGTTAACCATAGTTAACGTATGTATAGGGATAGATATATAACTAAGTTGATCAAATAAAATATAAATGAAGTGGTTTTACAACGAATGAGCAATTGAATTATCGAGTTGCACATGATATAATTCCTGGTCAACAGGAAATGAACATCCTATCGATAAACCAAACATGTATGTGTCCAATGAGTAAATTCCTTTGAAATGTGTAATCATCAGGAAAGGTAAGTTGGACTATGTATGAGTTATATTAATCAAAACTGTAGGTAGGAATAGCTAACCTAATCATGATTTTGTATTTACAGTGAAATATGTATGTGAATACAATCCTACAATAAATCAGATACCATCAAATTTTAGCAAAATCACATTTGATCACTAGCTTACAAGTCGAAACCGAGGTGAGAATTTTCAATCCAAATGTCAAAACAGTTCAACCGTATGAGTTGGAAACTTGGAGAACTACGAAAGCCATCATCCAGAAGATACAAGTGTTTATTAACAGTTGTCTACGCAAAATACTTCGGATCCTTTGGTCAGACACTATCAGAAATAACTGTGTGAGAAAACAAACTAGATCCCAGTGGAGGAAGAAATCAGAAAGAAGCGCTGAAAGAGATAGGGCATCTATTGAGGAAAACACCCAACCGCGTCACATGGAATCCTCATGCCAAAGTAAAAGAGGAAGATCAAAGGACACATAACACCGAGAAACGGAAACAGACATGAGAAGAATGAACGAAAATTGGATAGAACTAGGAAGGAAGGCCCAGGACAGAGTGGGTTGGAGAATACTGGTCGACATCCTATGATCCATCGGGAGCTACAGGTGTAAGTAATTTACAAGTCGAAACAAAAATGTGCTTACTACACGCTTATTAGATTGTTAGAAAGATCGTAAAACAAACATATCAACTTATTATTACCCAAAAAAGATAACGAATCTATTCATTCAATTATCGTCTTATTTCCCTAAAGGAAATAGTAAATCAAGTTAAAAATGCAACTGATAAAGTACCAACGAATTCTTCATTCATTTGGCCAAACAAGGAAACCTAGACAAAGGAACATGGTCAAGTCAAAAGAAATCAAAACAAATGCCTACTTATCGAGCCAGGTCATACTGTCAACATTAAAATAAAAATCTCAAGTATCCCTTCAAGTATTTAACACAACAGATGAACATTGGCACACACACACATACATAACCAGTGAAGCTTTAACCAATGAAGTAGTGCATTTTCAAACTTTTAGTCTTCCTTAGTGATTACATCTCAAGAAAGTAGACGTGAAATATTTATCAATTTTAGTCGGACAGAATTGTGGAAATTTTAGTTCAATTTGTAGATTGTATTCATCATAATTCAATGTTAATTAGGAGCCCATTAAAAACTAAAAAGAACCGGATAGCTGTTATTATTATTACTACCATTATTTGAACACATAAATATTGGTACAAGGAGGCACCAAATACATATGAGCCACAAAAATCTCATTTGATTTGTGCGAGGGCTGAGATAATGTCCTCGTGCCCAAACCGAAGCAGGTAGTATTTTGGGGGGGTCATACCCGGAGCCTTCGACCTGAAGATCTGATCCACAAGAAAGTGGAGCAACGTAAGGTAGCCGATTACCAACGATTGGTTCATACGCCATTTCATCCGTCAGGATACTGGATCCCATGTGCACCATTGGTTTGGAATCAGTGTTTTCCAAATCCCCTAGGTAGAATCTCCATGTCACCCAGAGCTGGACATTCGCTTTCGGTCCTCTCAATTTCGTAACCAACAGTTATGCCACGAGATGGCAGTGAGTAGGACTTCCATGGCAGAGGCTATATACGCGTGGCCATGTGAGAGCATTTCAGATAGCTGTACACACAAGACTCTGTTTGCATTTGAATTGAGAACTATGTGGTACTGAGACGAACACTTAATTATCAGTGGTAAAATTACAACTTATATCAATTTGTGACAAAGATCGACGATCACCTAATGGTAATATTAATTTTACTTTTCATTACAGTTTTGTAATTGTCTAATCATACTAGATTTGGATCTTATTATGATTACCATTTAACTTCAATCGACTCGTCATAATTCATATTGAAAGTTTCTACCCAATTTTACTTCAATCAACTATTCAAACCACAGCACGGTAATTTAAAGGTTAAGCGTTCTCGTTCGAGACTGATAGGTCCTGGATTCGAATCTTGCGTGGCAGGATCGTGGATACGCATTGCTGAGGAGTCCTATACTAGGATAAAACAACTGTTCAGTACTTCCAGGTTTTCCATATTGGTCTTATTTTATTTTATTTATTTAAACACATAAACATTTATGCATCCCGTGATATAATTTATTTATGTGAACACATAACTATTAGTATAAAGGGGCACCGAATACATATGTGCTACACAAGTCACTTGATTTGTGGGTAGGCTGTGATACCACTCGGGTACCCAAACTGAAATACGTGGTTTTCTTTCAGAACCACAACCGGAGCCTTCAACCTGAAGGTCTGATCCACAAGGCAGTGGAGCAACGTAAGGAAATGCAGTCTCATGGTAACCCGTCACCAACAATTGGTTCATATGCCATTTGTCCCTTCAGAATCCTGAGGTCCATGTTCACCATTGGTTTGGAATGAGGATTTTCCAACTCCTCTAGGTGGACACTCCATGTCCACTAACCCGATTAAAGCACCGGACATTCGATTTTCGTCCTCTCAATTTTATAAACAATAGCTCCGTCACCAGAAGACAATGAGTATGACTTCCCTGACAGTGGTTGTATGCACGTGGCCATGTGAGAGCATTTCCAGAAGAAGAGTACTAACTCTCCACAATTTCAGTCGCACAACAGAATTTGTATGCCCCATGATGGTCTAGCTTCAATTGACTTATGAATTGAATGATTACAATCTTCACTTAACTCCTCTCTGATGGTTAATTTATTATTACATTGTATAGATCCTCTTTATTTATGTAACTAATAAACTAATTGAAATTTAATCTTTTTGATATTTACCTAACGATTAATTATTAAATGTATCCAAATGATTAGAAATGAGGTTATTATTAATACCTTTTTAAAATATGTACTTTCTATAATATTACCATGATATTTGTTGCTAAGGCTAAAAACAGGCATACATATATATATAGATTTAAAGATATTGATTAAGTAGTATAAAAAGAAAAAGAACATAATCAATTGAATACTATCCAATGAATTATAATAATGTACACTTTTCCAATAACTGGTAATATGACAGTGAACAACGCGACATATTCAGTTATACACAAGCTATATATACATATACAGTGGTATTTCATTAAAACATCAATATAATAAGTAATGAATGATAAACACTAGAGACAATTTGTCATATGTTATATATATAACATAAATAACAACCAAAATCTATTTTTTTCTAATGAACTTCTTTACAAGGAATAGAAAATCAGTAATATACTATGAAATATTGTTTATTTATTTATTTATTTTAACACATAAGTATAGGTACAAGGAGGCACCAAGTACATATGCGCCACACAAATCTCAATTGATTTGTGTGAGGGCTGTGATACTGCCCGGATGCCCAAAACGAAGCAGGTGGTTTTCTTAGGGGGCCACACCCAGAGCCTTCGACCTGAATGTCTGATCCACAAGGCAGTGGAGCATCGTCTCATGGTAGTCGGTGACCAACGATTGGTTCATACGCCATTTGTTCCTTCAGGCAGCATACTGGAGCCCATGTGCACCATTGGTTTGGGATCCGGTTAAAGCGCCGGACATTCGCTTTTCGTCCTCTCATTTTCGCAAACAACACCCCCGCCACGAGAAG